GGAGCGGCCAAACAGAAACATGGCACTAGTCTATGAAGTCAATTACCCATGTTAATAGGTACAGAATACGTGGTTGGGGCCCACGTGGTTATCGCAACAAATGATCAAAGACTTTGAATGACATGGCTGAAAATCGTTTGCGATGGCGCAGATACGACTATTCTCTGTTTTTCTCTAAATTCTGAGTTTCAAAATTCATCATGAAAAGTTTTGTGCTTTTATTTCACTTATTTAAGTTTTCTTCTCGAATCGTATTTTTGGTGCCTAAACTTTTCTGTTATTATTTCTACTCTTCCAGGATTCAGTCCTACAACTTCATATCTCTATGTTAATTGGGTATGGAAACTTGAACCGATGTACGTTGGTACAGGTTTTCACTTGTGACTGGCTAACTGAAATAGATATCATAAAACAACGGCGAAAGTAACAGATTTAATTTTTGATCAAATTGTTTTGCTTAATCCTAAATGTGGATAATATGTTTAACTCACTGCAATTATTATTATCAGATTGTATAGTTGAAGAAAGTTGATCAACTGTCGTGATCTGATAGTTTATCTAATATAAAATACTAGCCTTAGTGGACAACTTGTTTGTAAAACCTACTCCGTTTATTTTATTTTGATGTGACTGGACCGGACAGCAAAGAATTAATTATAGTAAAATAATACTAAGTATACTTTTCACAGCGTAATCTGAATAAATGGGAAGGATATTACCAAAGAGTTTACATCAAACAACTAAAACTATTCTAGCTAGAATTACAATAAACATTTACTTATCTCAAAGTTATTGACAAAAAAGAATAGAAAGTTTAATGCAAAATTGACAAATCAACAAGCTTGAATTGAGAATGAAGATATGATTCGCTTTAACTTTATCCTTCACTCATTGTTACTTGAGAAGAAAAAGATCTAAATTTCAAATTATAATTTGAACAAGATATCAAGAAAGAAGATGATTAAAAGTTTGATGTTCAATTAAGGAAGTATTCAGCTTAAATTATGTTGATTGACAGTTAAATACTGTGTAAATGTGCCATTTAGTGGATACATATTTGTGTAGATGGAAATATATTAAAATGACTGTGATATTTAAAAACCTTTAAAACTTAATTTCACGTTTCAATGCCTATTTTTCAGCTTAAATTTCAACTAAAGATGCGATATTAAACTAGCAGATGAAGATGTTTTTCTCTTTTATATAATAAGATTTGAAAATCAGTATGAAATTTAAATTCTCCCCCCCCCCCTTTTTTTATCTACTATAACGAATCAACCATAGAAACTGTATTCATCAAATGAAGTTTTCAACTTGTTATCATTATATATATATATATATATATATATATATATATATATATATATATATATATATAGTATCGTTCTCATTTTGAAATTTAGGGTTTCTCAGTTCTTTTCAATATAAGATAACTATCATATGCTGTTCAATAATCCTAAATTTATTTTACATTATACAAATTCACATAGAAATGTGTAGGTAGATGGAGTTAATGTGATTGAAGTGAAAATAAATGCCATTTATCTTCATAAAGATAGTGAAGAGTGTCTTAGGTATAGCGCTGAATACCTACCTAATCTTCAATATTGAATTACTTCTGAATACAAAAGTAATATTCAACTTAAATTTGTTCTATAAACTTCTTGTCATTTAAAGAACATTACACTAATGATCACATTAACTTCAGCTATTTTAGACGTGAGTGTGGTACTCACCAATGATATTAGATAATGGCTATTCCATATCGCTAATTAAGTTAATCTAGAAATGCTACTAATCGGATCCCAGTTCACTGATATAAGCTTAAATTGTTTACCCCAAGACCTTAAGGTATTGAGTCCCATCATTATTGAGGTCGTTGATGTGGCCAGGTTGAGTTCCATACTGTTACCTCTAAGTTTTCAATGGTTGTGCAATTAAAATTATTTCCTAATCTAAACTAGGAAATTTAACGATCTCGATAACCTTCTCTTGTGATTACATTATTGTTAGTTACGAGTAGTACAATAAGAGATGCGTCTATGGCACATTTTCAAACATGAATTACTTGATAAACCATAGGAAGTAAGTATGTTTCCGTAATAAATTATTTCATAACAGTTATATCTAACCCATAAATTGTAAAAATGAGTAAACAATATGAACATTTTCATGTCAGAAAATAGTAAGAAAATAAGTCAAGCAATTAATATAACTTCTAACTGTGTATACTTCAATTTTAACAAGAAACCTAATATTTCTTCATACAATCAATGGAAAAGGTAGGTTTTAGTCTTTCATTTATTTCAACTTAATTAAAACTGTCATTTCTTAACAAACATTTTGCCAAAACTGAAATTTTAACATTTCAGTAGTAAAAATATCAAGATTGTTTAACCAAAATTCAAACAATTAACGGTTGTACACCACAAAAAACTATACCAGTCATTGTTGTTGTTTTGATCTTGTATTTATTATTATAGAATGATGTACCTTCAATCTTCAATTGCTATTAATAAATTTATCATTTTAAATATAAGTTCAGTTGCTCATATCGATCACAAAAGTGACATAACTCAAAAAGGAAAGTTTTTGGATTACTTGTTATGTGTGCTGTTATCGATGGTCATATACGTAATATGTATCTTATGTCAACTTTGCCTGTACATAATTACTTAATTACGCCTGTTACTCCTCATGGAAGAGCATAGGTCGCCCACAAGCATTTTCCGCTGATCCCTGTCTTGGGCGATCCCTTCCAGTTGCTCCCAGCTGATATTCATTTTGCAACCCACGAAGATTGTACATAATACTATATAAATAATTTATCAAATCAAATAACTTATACACCTAGGTGAATAAACATTTGGCATATTTATTAGTAAACTGTCTTTGAAATAATAACTAGTTTAGATCTTTTTGAACATATTCAACAGGCTGTAATAAATATTAACAACTTTATAGCCAATATTTAATTTAATAGTTAAATTCATGAGTCGATTGAAGCTAGACCATCGAGAAAACGTGGAAGCAATGAAAGGCCGTTTTGTCTTAGTACGGGACTCCTCAGTAGATTGGATTGGTCGAAGTTAGACATAAACACCGTTGGATGCCGGTCAGTTCAGTGGTCTAGAGGATAAGATCTCGCACGCAGGACTCGTAGACCCTGGGTTCCAATCTCGCGAAGTGTGACTATAGGTGCTCACTGTTGAGTCCCACAATAGGACGAAACGACCATCCGGTGCTTCCAGGTTTTCCATAGTGGTCTAGCTTCAATTGTCTCACGAATTAACTTATTAACTTACTATAAATATCCACAAAATTCTTCTCTAATTACAATATTTATTTGTTTGTTTAGCTATCTCTAGTTCTGTTGAATTAAATTTCGCTTTGACTAAAACTCATAAAACTTAATACAAGTAGATATTATTATCGGAGACATGGATATGAAAAGGAAAAAAAGGCAGATAATAATGAGGGAAAAAGTCATCAGTAATTATTAAACTGGTATTTAGCAAATGTTTACAATTATATCCGGAAATTATAATTGTTTGTCTTTGTTTTTTTTTGAATTATGTAAGTATGGAAAATCTGTTTATTAGTTTTCAGTAATCATATTTTTACCGCCTATTAAGAGAGACATTTGAAATTATACTACTCTATACATTAAATTGTTAGTTAAACAAATGATAATCAATGTCATATTGTCTAGACTAAATACAATCAGATAAAAGTACAATGAATATACTCAGTTTAACCTAGAACACTAAACATGAATGGTCAAAATATATCGATGTTTGATTTGATTTTTCTTTACGCAGAGGTGAATTGAAAATAGTGGACTTACTTGCTGTTTCAAAGAAACAGATTCTATTTTGAGAATATTTACAGAATAAATACCTACTTATAGGTATGATCAAGTTGATACAGATAGCAATGTCACGTGTAAAGGATAGATATATGATTTTAAATTATTTGAATGAATTTGGTTCAAAACATATTTTAAGACAACATTTGTCACATGGATTACGATAGTTAGAAATCTCAGTTGGAGACCGTTAGCTCTGTCCAGAGACATCAGAATACTCTTTCCTATGTTAAGTGAGTAGTGATATACAACGTCAAGTATGCATGTCGTTACCACTTATGATGAACAACTAATTATTTACTCCTGACCATTTACGCTAAATCATTGATACCTAAATAACAGTAAGTAGACTCTATAAACTGATAGGATTTCCTGCGCCTTTATACTCATTATTTACACACATAATATCAATTTTTCTCATTGACGACAAAAACGTAAGAAATAAAATATTAACATTCTGTTTTACAGGTTTCATGATCTGAGATTTGGCCTGTATATATTGATGGAAAGTCCTAACTAAACGCTTCACCAGTCACTGATTCTAATGATTTCATGGGTGATATGAATGATTGATAAAATATACATTTTATTAAGACAATAGTTTCTGAACATTTTAATCAATGCAACGTGTTATGTGCGGTGTTTTGTCACATTTAGAACTCATCATTGACTTTAGAAAATTATCAATATAATAATTACTAACTGTGATGATCTGCTTACGGTTACTGTAAAATTACATTTGGCTTGTAATATAATTAATTATTCAAAAAGTTTAATAAAACTCTTTTGGACTACCCTGAAAATAAAACATTTCACCAACAGTAAACATCTTGCAATAAAATCGTATTTGTTTAAGTGAAACACTGTACTGCATATTTAAACTGTTTTATCGTGAACGAAGCAATGAATGGGTTTCAACCATGTAGAAGTATTTACATAAACTAGTCTGTAACTTGTCCTTCATGTTTGGAATAGTGATGATAAGGTTAATTTGGTTAAAAGAAGATAAATTGCGTAATCGACGAATATGTGATTCAGTAGTTGGACTTCTACAGAAAGTTATTATCTTCTTCAGTAATTTACTTTATGTTTACATACTCATGCATTTGTTTGTTTTTCTAATCTTTTCTAGGTAATCAGCTGTAATCGGCAAGTATGCACATTACAAATTACTGATACTACTGGTAGTCATCAATTTCCAGCTATGCAACGATTGAGTATTAATAAAGCACATGCATTTATCCTTGTATATTCCATAACTAACAAAGCTTCATTTGATGAATTACAACCATTGTATACTGAATTAGCATTAATTAAAATGGATGAATTACCAAAAATACCGATTATGCTTGTTGGTAATAAAATCGATGAAAATGATAATCGAGAAGTTAGTCCAGCACATGGTAAAGCATTAGCACAAAAATGGAAATGTGGTTTTATGGAAACATCAGCTAAATCAAATTTAAATGTGAAAGAAGTTTTTCAAGAATTATTAAAAATGGAAACACGACGTAATATGACATTAGTAGGTGAAATAAAATCACATTCACGTTTTGTATCATTTTTTAAACGTCGTTCAAATGATACACATACTAATAATACAATTGGTGTTGTAAACACTGGTATTAATAATACTAATGGTACAAATTTTAATAATTCTACATCAATTGTTGATGCATTAGATATGCCTAGACAAATAAATACAATACAAGAACAATCTATTGCTAGTACATCAAAAGAGACTAAAACTTCATCAAAATTAAAACGATTTTTAAGCATTAAAACATATTCTGAATCAATGGGAACAATGAAAAAAGATAAGAATGATGATATTGCATAAACTTCATTATTTGTATCGAATCATAATGATGCCTATTCTGTAAAAAATAATTATTTTCTACGCTTAAAGTTATAGATTATTTATTCATTTATAAAAATAAAACTACTTTAATAGAAAATTTGTTCCTTTTTTTAGATTTGGTTAAATAAAATCATTATTTAATATATTCAAATTATATATGATGGTCGGTATTCAATAGAATCCTTAAACTTCGTATACAATTCGTCTTGATAGCCATCACTAGATAACGCCTCAACGGTATATTAATCAGAAGGCGAATACGAAGTGTTGATTACGTTTATTATGGGACCACAGACAGATATGCAAAATTATAGGTATGTTAAACAAACATGAAAGAGTAGTGCCAAAAAGCAATCAGGCAAGATAGCGAGTCAGTGAGTCGGCGCATACGAGTACGAGTAAGCGAGTACAAATAAGTGAGTGCAATGAACATAAATAAAATGGACAAATATATACATAGTGAAATGGATGAATCATCGTATCAATTAAGCGACTAATAGTAAGGCTAGCAGGTTGAATATATGCGTAGGCAGTAAGCAATGCTCAAGCATACATAATATTCTAAATGTTACTGTGTTGTGTGCTACTTATATTGACATAAGTAATATATGATTTTACTCGTGAAAAGAAGGTCTAGCAGCAGAAAGACAAGAGGATCAAACAGTAAAGAATGGAAACAAAATGCAATTTGTATGAAAATGCAAGAACAATGAAGCCTGAGTCATTTTGAGACAATTGATGGACATTTTGCAAATTAAGCATTTACTATTTCATTGTTAGATTTTATTGACAAGTCCTGTAATTTTGTGTTAAATACATTCGATTGTCCCCCCCCTCGTGTTTGTGTTCACTACACAATCATATTATAAATTTTTATTAGTTTCCATTTCGTTATAAATAATGATGTCTAATTTGTTTAGTTTTTTTTATAAAACAATATTATTTGCATTTAAATTAAAGATCATAGAAATGAATAGAGATATGATAAAACTGTTGGAAACAAAAAAAGGTTTCCATTGAAATTATGGAATAATGAGTTTTTTTATTTTTATTTTATAATAATCAATTCCATTATAGTTTTTTTTTCTTTTCGGAAATATTGATTATAACTAACCCTATTTTTCCTAATAAAAAATATTGAGAATTTAGATATAGACATAGAGGGTAAGGGGGGAGTGTAATAAATTTATTACCTGGGTTCAAGACCCTATTTTAGATGAAACAAAATTTTTTAAACAGATATAAACGTCCATAACAACCGATAACCTAAATAAGATAACTTACATCATATCATTGATTGAAAAAAATTGAAAAGTTTACCAAATATTGTTTAACTTAGGAACTTGAATTGTTATACAAAAAGAATTTCAGGAATAATATATATTATTCGTTCGTATAATCAATAATATACCCTTTATAATTCTATCATATTAATAATTTGTAACATCTGGTGAAGTATTAACTCAGAACGTATAGACTTTGTAAGTTGAACATAATCTTAATTGTAACTAACTGTACAATTCAAGATTTGAGTCACTTCTTGATAAGTTTATCGGCTGATTTCAATACGTTTTGAATCTCGTGCTTTATCTCTGATATGTGCGATCAATATACATTGGGTTATCTCAAGAATCTTATTTTCACCTGAGATTGTTACTCTTAAATATCTATCAATTTCGTTTGTTTGCTTTTAAGATCATATTGATCAAATTCTATCATGATGACATCGCAAAATGACTCAAAACCTAATGTCGCTTAGATTTGCACAAAACGAAAACATATGAGAAAATGTTGTTCTGGATTCTATAAGTAATGTCTAATAAACATTTCATGGAAATCCAGATAATGTTAGAAAACAGGCACAAAATGTTTGCTGCAAAATATATCTTACAGATTTAAACTTGATCATCAACAACGGGATAAGTTGGATATTTAGAATAAACAAATCAATCATCACTATCTAAAAAATGCGGAATGTCCCCAATATTTTATTAAAATATAAAGAGAAATTGTAAGTGGATATAAAAAATTCTATCATTTGTTGATCGCTTTTTAGATGATTACAATTTTTAGTTTAATATTTAATCAAAATACGTTAGAAAATGGGGGATTTATACGCGACGTTTCCATGTAAACCTAATGTATCGCCAAGTGTAATAACTTTCATGTCTACGTTCATGTAATCATGGGAGTTGTCATTTTATAATGTATTTTTTATTAAATGACTAGATTATGCTGTGAATTTTGCTCCAGTTGTAATTTTTATCCGCCACGTTTGACTGCGTTACACTGTACGTTCATTGCATGCTGGAATGATATTCCAAGACCTTGTCAGTTTAATCACATCATTAATTTTCTTCACATAGATCGTCAGTAAATAATGTTACTGAAGAAAGGTTTGTTGTGCAGTAAACTATGTTTTACGAGCAATTGACTGTTGTCTTCAGTCTCAAAACAATATCATTTTTCTTCTGTTAGGTTAGTTTGACTGGCCTATAGTTCGTGTTTTTGGTTTATCGGCTGAATTATGTACATTTAACTACTTTGAGTGATATGTCTGTGCAGATGAAACAATAATTACGGCACTTGCTTAGTTTAGTATTCTTAGTTGTCGTAAAATTCAGTTTGGTCGGTAGAATTATAGTATACCTAGGTATAGTATTTGGAGCCTATAACGAAACATCAATTTATTAAGTAGAGCTGCCTTTTTTTAATGAGTATACTGATTAAAATCAGTCTGCTTGGAAATGTCAAAAGAGTTGCCTTTGATGCTGTTGTTGTCATACATGATAAGATAGCGATAAGTATGTTTGGTGTTTATTTGTAGACTGTACATCTAGAACTGACCATATTTCAAGATCACTGTCATCAAACACTTCCCCCAGCGTTAACATAAGTAGCAGGATAGCTAAATGTCTGTGATTTCGGTTGGCTGCAAAACTGCAGTATATAATCCTAGAAGAGGACTGTTCTGTGTCTTAATTAAATGCGGCTGATTGTGGAAAAATGTTAAAAATCTTTCTTCAATAGTTGATGTCATGAGTCAATTGAAGCTAGACCACCATGGAAAACCTGGAAGCACTGGACGGCTGTTTTGTCCTAGTATGGGACTACTCAGAAGTACGCCCAGCGAGGTTCGAACCCAGGTTACGCACTGCTGAGGAGTCCAATACTAAGATGAAACGGCCGTTCAGTGCTTCCAAGTTTTTCTTAGTAGTGTAGCTCTAAGTGACTCATGAGTTCAATTATTAAACTATATGTATGTATATTTTGAAGTATAGTACTTAAGTGGGAGAAAAACATCTTGAATTAAGAATATATATATGTATAATATCTTGTAAATCCTCACAATATTCATTTATGAAAGGACATACCTAAATAAATTTGTTAGTACACATATATAAACAATATAAAATTCCTTATTTTACAGTTCAAAATTCAATATAAATTCAATTCATTACATAAACATTAATATACTTAGCATTATATAACATCTTAGTAAATTGACATAAATAATTCAAGTATCATTATACCATTATCAATGAATCAACAAGTCAAAATATATTGAATATTTCTGTTAAAAAAACGTTTACTGTTTACCTGTTAATAGATAACATAATGTTGTTTAGTAAGCTATTCAATTTAGGTCATAAGGTAAAATTTCACGTTTGACTAATCTAAAGAAAATTAGAAAAATCTAGAATGTTTCGTAGAAGTATCTGTAAGAAAAACAAAAAACAACAAATAAACGATATTCTTTTCTAAAATATTTAAACAAATAGAATATTCTTTATTTACATTAAGATAAATCAGTTACCGAAGTAACGTTTTAATAAACAATATAGAATAATATTATAATCGATTTTTATTCTTTTGTCATGTAATACAACAAGTAATATGACACTAACAATGGTTATTTAATATAAATACAGATATTGCTCATTCTTTTTATACATTCTAGTTATGAATATTGCATAAAAATATGTGACTGTGAATTTTAAAACGGTTTCATATTTCATTTTCAATTTTATATGAACTGATTATTTAATTCAGAAAACCTAACTACACTACAATACTATATATATATATATATATATATATGTCGCACAGGCGATTGGCGATCAAGACTCAGTAAATAAGTGGATAATACCGTGGCGTTCAGTGTGAACGGTACTGAGTTCGAATCACAGAGTGAACATCAAATCTGAGATGTAGGCACATCCAACTGACGAGTCCCAGATAGGACGAAATGCGTGTCTTGGATTCCACTGCCATCCACTATCCATCTTTGCTTAGAATGCTTGTGATTTAAGACGATATCAAGACAATCCGTAGAGTATGCATATATGCTAATAAGAGACTGATCAATTGTAGTCTTAAATAGCAATGAGAAGATACAAGTAAACAATACCGAGTGAATTTAGTGTGAATTCTTGTTTACAACAGATACATTTTTATTTTAAGATGTATTTAAATTTAATTAGATTTTGATGTTTTGAAAAACACCGAATGAATTACTTAAGTAACTTAAATGATTCTGTTGATAAATTGTTAGTGCATTCCATGTTAAAGTCTCATTTCAATGAAGTATCTACAAAAAAACCTCACTTTTAGTGGCCCAAAATCTGACTCTAATTAGATCGTATAAATGATTGTTATTAAATAATTACTGTCGAAATATGTATATCGTCAATCCTCGTATAAAGTTATCGACTTGAATCGCGTTAGTAAATAACGGAATAAAATAAGCCAAATACGAGAATGAATTTCGAATACTTATATTTCATATAATTGTTGATCCAGACAAACGATTGTATGAAATGTACGTATTCGAAATTTATTCTCGTATTTGGCCTATTTTATTCCATTATTCATTAACGAGATTTAATCTGATGATTATATACGAGGGTAGCTGGGATGTATAATTCGATAACAATTTTTCAACAACGATTATTCATATAATCCAATTAGAGTCAGAT